GGCAGGGCGCAGGCGCGAGACAAGGAGGAGGGGAGCTGGGAAGGGATAAAAAGCCTCGCTCCCTCCCGGCGTTTCGCTTGGTGGGCGAGGCTCGCGCGCTCCCATTGGCCGGCGCAGCGGAGGGGGCAGGGTCGGCCAGCGGCGCCACGTGCGCCGGTGCAGACGCGGTCCTGGATGGGCGAGACCCTGAAAGGGCAGCGGTGGGCCAGATCCTCATTATAACTAACACGGATTAGCTCCCGCGCGGCCACAGCGGTTCCCTGTGATTCACTTTGTGCCACTGATGCCTGTCCCCGAGCACCGCCCAGGCCAGGCTACCCCAGGAGGGGTAGCAGAGGCTGGAGGCAGCAACGCGGCCAGGGACAACTGCAGCCACAGGTCTCCTGCAGCTTGGAACCTGGCCGGCAGCCAGCGTATGACGCAGCAGGCCAGGCTGCACTTTTGGACGCCTCCCTGCTTTGTTTGATCTCGCAGGCTCAGAAACCCCCATCCCACACTGCAAGGCAGCTGCAAGGGAAACACCTGAATGCGCGGTGTGTGGCACCACATACTGCACGGCTGTGCTCTTTTGGATGAGAACTGAGCTGGTTTGCTGTACAACAGGCATCCCAGCCTTCCTGCTACCTTCAGCAGCATTTAAACAGTTTTTTGGTCACATGGGAGCTTTAATCGCAGAGGTCTACAACAGTGGTTGTCAACCTTCAGTACCTTACCTTACCCTGCCAATCGACGTGGCAAAAGTGAACCCAGAAGTCCTACCATGGCACTTCCAGTTTCACAGCTGTGCCGAGTCCCACTTTTTCCACTCCCACCCTATCCCCCAGCACAGACACAGCCCCAGCCCACCGGACACCGCCGCAGGGCCGGCAGCTGGAACTTCTGGCCGGAGCAGGCAGACCGAAACACAGCACCCGCGTATCTCCTGCCTGTGTTGCATGTACCCCGTGGTACGTGTACCATGGGTTGAGAAACCGTGGTCTACAACATGGGCATTGCAGAAATCCACCCCCATGGGCTCCCAATGCACAAAGGCCCTTGCAACTTTGAAAGGGAAAACAACTAGAGGTGTGCTGATACTTTGGTCCGATATCAGATCCGCAGCACTATAAAAAAAAATGAGTGCATTGGAAATCGGCCTGATGTGGCAGATAAATGGCCCGTGTGCAAGTGCAGCCGCAGCGCAACACGTAGGTGGCAAGGAGCACAGCCCAGCAGCTTGAAGAGCTGCTTGCAGCTGATAGGTTTGTTGCAGTAGAAGGGGAGGAGGGCGGAAAGGCGCATAGGGGGTGCAGGTCACAGCCCCCACAGTGAAGGAGAAAGTGGAGCTGAGGCAGGTGCTGCCCCGATAGGGTGAAGTGAGGCATGGGATGGAGCTGTCACTCATGGAGGGAGCACGGATGTCCCCAGGGCAGCTCCTGCTGCTGCATGCACCCAAAGCAGGGCAGACAAAGATTGCCATTGTGCTAACTACAGCTGTGGGGTCTAGATGAAAAAAGAACAAAAATAACCCAAGAAACCAAGGAGCATGCTATTGAGAACATGTGCCCTAGAGTTTGTGGCTCTGGCATCTTGTCATGGGGTAAGAAACGTGGCTACCCTGTTCCAGGAGAGCCTCTTTCAGGTAGGTACTGGCTAGTAAGTAAGATGCCAAACTTAAGTTAAGGCATCATTAAGAGTAAATGACAAGGTAGGGCGAGAGGGTGATACAGCAGTGGAACATTCTTCTCTTCTCAAGTCTGACAAACAAGGCCATTGCTTTAGCTGCTACATATCTACCATAAAAAGGGGAGGTGGAAGGGAGGAGAGGAAGGAAGGAATCAGCTGCTTGTTTTTACTTTGCCCATGCACTCTCACAGCTGCTCCCAATAGAATTTAATTCACATTGAAGTTTTTTATGGATCAGTCTGACAAATTCCTGAAAACATACATATTTAATTAACTTGTATTATGCCGACTTCTCCTCCACAACCCACCGCTACATACATTTGTGGGTAGAACATTATGACACTATTTTTGTCAGCAGTATTCTTATATAAAAGCTATCTTCTTTCAAAAATATCTTCATGTACATCACATTTAATCATGGGATTTTAAATACTGCCCATTTCAAACGGACCCTATTAAAATAAGGCCAATCTTTCTAAATCACTGAAAATGAATTTTAAATTAGGCTTGTTCCTTCAAACCCACCATGCCTCTTCAAATTCTGTCACATACAAGCACTGTCCAGAAGCACCATCTACCGGTACGGCATGGTCTTCCTCACGAATACATGGCTGTTCGCTACAGGAGGAACCTCTGATGGGTACAAAGGCTGACTGATTTCTCTTGGTGTTCAGTGTCTCAGAGTTTTTCTAGCACCATTAGAAACTGGTTATGATGTCGGGGGAAAAAGCAATAAAAATTGGAAACTTCACTTTTCCACCCCCAACAACTCCTGTGTGTTCATCGCAGTGGCTTCAGAATGGTATCAGAAAACGTATTACCGGCACCTTGCCACATAAAGATGCAGGTGTTTACAAATGAGCACCTTCGTGTTCTCTGAACTTAAGTTAGTTGTAAGTACCTTTTCAATATGCTGTGTAATAAGCACATTCAGTAGTACTATTCCCCTTGGAGAGAAGGTATTCAAAATGCTTAAGGTATTCAAAATGCATCATCTAAAAGGGGTAGCTCAAACTCTTGAATTTCAGGGAGGTGCAGGGACCTGAGAGAGAGAAAGAGAGAACACATACATATGCAGAAGTGCCTCCCTTCCTGACTGTTAGCAAGCAAACAAGTGGCTGTTCAATCTTGTAAGCTTGCAAACAGTGTAACCTGCTTTGAGCTATTATTTAAAAAAAAAAAAATTGTACTAGGTGGTATTGGCCTCTGCCTCAAAGACATGTCCTTTTCTGTTGATGATCTAACTGCTGCAAACAGGCTTCTTCCTCTCGCTCGCCAGGTGCAGTTTGCCTCTTCCTGTTCTGAAAGCACTGCAAGACAAGCACAAACACCTACTTTGTTATCTCACACTTACACTCCTGAATACCATTTAATTTCTTTGGCAAGCACGTTCTCTCAAGACATGCAATTCAGAAGAATTGCACCAAAACATTTAGATCAGGGGTGTCAAACTCCCTTGCCTCTTCTTCCCCCTGCCTCAGCCAGATCAGGACCACAAGGTTCTTCATAGCCTGGATCCAAACTCACTTCTGGCAGCTGGACCAGTAGCATTATGGAACAGCAGGGTCAACGCAGCTGTCGTTCACCCCTCTGCCACAGACACGCGTCCTCCATGGGGGTCTCGGTGCCAGAATTTAGTACCAGGCCCTGCCCAAAAGCCCCTTGCGATGGATGCAGATAGTGACACCCCTGATCCAGATTCATTACAAAACCAAATATTACTTCCTGCTAACTCTTGCCACTAGGTGGAGATGATGCATTATTCACAGTAGACTGACTATGGTGAATAATGTAACATTTCTTTACCACTTCGAAACCATCGTGAAATGCTACAAGTTTCCTAGAATACACTGGATTCTTGAGAGTTGGAGATCTCTATCATGCTCCTTTAAAAGATCAGTCCACTTTGCACATCTTTTGTGAACTAAAGTAGTATATACCTGAACAGGTTACAGGTGAAGCACAATAAGATCCTCACATAGCAACATGCTGCAAAAAAGATGGGAAAGAGCAGAGACTGCATTGAGCATAACAGAAGATGCCCTTTCAAACTATAAAGCAATTCTTTCATGGCACATTTCTACATCACCTTTTTTGGTATAAAAATCCTTGGGAATTGTAGTAGAAAGTTTGTACTATAGTACAGTTGTGCTATCAGAAAAAATAGATTAGTAGTTTTAACTGCTGTAACAAACACAGCATATACACACTGAAATCCTACTGCTGGGCAAGTGTCATTTATTTTACCGTCTTAATTGAGGCCTATATGAAGAGAATGAAAGTAGATGTACATTCATTACATTTTCCAGCTGAATGGCAATTTCAGGAATGAAACTACATTGGAGTGTTCTGGGTATGGTTTGTTCATTCTGTTGTGTTAATAGGGTGATTATATTCTCCCCAAAGCAAAAGGCCAGGCAACTGAAATGGGCCATCTTAAGAGCAAAGCCAGGACAATTATGTTCCACCAGAACTAGAAATAAAGCTTTAACCATAATTTTGTGAGTCATAACTACCAGTAGAATAGCAGCAGCTAGTGATGCTTTGGCAAATGATGTGGTCCTGTGACCTGCAGGTTTGACATAAAACAACCACCGCTGACTAAATGGGTGTATGCAAGGGGGTGCTTCTGCTGCTATAACTCTGGAATCATTTATCTGTAGCATCACTTACCTGCACTAAAATGTCTCAAAACATCCAGGGTAACTTACTTGGTTTTGGCGGTTTTTTTGCAGTCCCTGAGGAAATTTTTCTGAAAACACAGGACTTAGTTCAACCTACTCTTACACCCACTTCACACACACTACTTTCAACCCAGCTCAAGTTTACAGAAACTATAGGCCAGCAGTACCTGTAGGGCCGAATTAGGATAACCAAAATATTGTGATCTTCACCATTTTGATTTAGTACTTCAATGTTAGCACTTCAGGGCAGATCAAGTGATTTGAATATAGAATCATCCTTCAAGCAAATTAACAAGCACACGATAAACCCCCTGTATCAGTCCATGCTGTTTTAGCACATGCTAGATGCATCCACCTTGCCACATTTTCCCCAGAGGTCATAACTAACAGCATTAACCAAGCTTGCTTTAGAACTTGAAGTTTGCAGCCAAGATTTTATTGATGAGATATATGTGCCACCCCTGAAAAAGGGCTTAGGGTGGCTTAAAGCGAAAGACAAATTAACTCACAGAAACAGGATCACCAAACCAAACTAAGATGATATATAACAGAACAGCTGCCAAACCAGACTCCAGAACTTGCAGGATTCCACCCTACCCAACTCACTTGCATGTCACTAAGGTGTGCGTCCTCTCACTGACCAGCCACTCTGATTCACTTCTTCCATGAAGGAGAGATTTTCCTCCCACGCTCCCCCCATCCCCGTAAAAGGCCAGTTCCCCTGCCTCTCACTCATTTGGACACAGCTGTGGAAGACTTTTTCGGCTGCAAAATGAAGCGGAGCAGTATCAGCCCAGGCTTTCATTATATACTTACAACAATGCCAGTTCTTATCAAATTGAAACCTGTAACTTACATGTTTTGACAAGCGATTCCATGTAGTCTTCTGTAGCAGCATCACAGCACAGAACGTCTTAGGCCAGAGAACATTTTAAGCGGCCAATTTTTACTGGCTTCTGCTCCATCATCTGTGGCTGGTACCCTAGAAATAAGGACTTCAGTGCCATGATCAAACCCAAACTACACTTCAATGCTCTCTTATGGAAGCTGCAATATACAGACCAATCCTTTCTGGCACAGCTCTTGGCAAAAAGGGAGCGGACCTAAATGTAATTTGTAATTAAAAAGTGACGATAACAATAAAAACCTTCTTATGATCTAATAACATCAGGGTTTCTTCTCATACAAGTTTAACAAAAGACTCTTTGAGGGTTCCCAGGAGTTTACAAACAGGCCAATGTTCAGGCATCCTAACTAGCTGGTTAGAGTAACCATGACCAACTAATGCAATATCAATGTCATTATTCTCTTGTTCACTTTCTTCTTTCAAAATCATTTGCCAAATATTCAAATGACGAGGCCCTAAATACAAGCGATGCAATTTTCAAAAGGACAGCCAAACACTCAGCTCTCACTGAAGTCCATACAACACTGCTCAGTGCCTTTAAGGGCAGATTAACTCCACTGCAGCACCCAAATATACCAATTGGCCTATTTCTGCCCACTCAGGCTTCCAAATTTTGAACCTGTCAGTTATGCCAAGAATACCACACAATTTTAGAATCTACTTCTTTGGAAAAGTACAGAATATCTATTGATGAAGGGACAAATAATAGGCAAAACACTTGTGCCTAATACAATGCATGTCTCATTATAAACAAGAAGTTATTACTGTACTTTCCATCAGACAAAAAACATGTACTGTAATAAGTCTGTACCTTTTGCATATGCATTCAACAATCATATGGTAAAAGGCACTCTAAGCAGAATGATGATCTATCCAGTGATGACTCAGGCATTTTCAACGCACTCCTCACTAAATTATCTAGAGACACGATCAAGGTACAATTCCCAAAATTAAACAATTTCAACAAGACCTCAACCCTGCACAGTCTCTGCACAGCCTCACTGTGGAAGTCTCTGCAGGGTCAGGACCTCAGTAGAGAAGAGTACAAACAAGACAAATTAGACTTTAGACATTCACTTTGAGACTAACTCAAAGCCTTGGATAATTTTTCCCACGGCACATTTTATATCACATGAAATCATATTGCATAACCAGAAAATATGAGTGCTAAGACACTACGCACATCCATATCAAAAGGACAATCAACATTTACATTAAACAACAAAGCCTTCAGCCATCTGAGTTGAAATGACCACCTTCTATACCAAAAAGTCAGTCCCTGGCTGAACTGTCTACCTAGCCTGCCATAATTTAAAAACACAACAGTGGCCATGAGATTAAAACATTGCTAATCACAGCTACCATCTTCCACGCAAGCCCAAGTCCACAGGTAACTCTTGAGAGGCTCTGAGACCTCAGACTGACCTGTGTACATCAAGGACCAACTTCTAATATAAGAAAACATGCAACGAGTATGTCCCTGCCCAGCTTTTTAGCACTTCTGCATAAACATATCTAAATACCTATTGTAAATTTTAAATCTATCCCCAGCATTGTGGCAGTTTGCATACACAGACACAGTAGGTATAAGTGGTAGAAATCTAGAAATTAGAGAGATTATAAAATAATCCTGTGTTCTAACTACCTTGATAATTCTGGTAGTCCATAGATGGAATATTCACAATTAAGTTTTTGTTGCAGTTACCAGCATCTATTGGCAAACACGCTGCTTGATTAAGTGGTTTGGTTTTGGTTTTTTTAATCAGGAAACCATTAGCTAAAATCTGGAGGATATTCCCAACAAGGAATCTTATCTGGTTCTTTGCAGTCTCCAGGGAAGCCTGAGATTACGCTCAGGTTCCCCAATAGAGAAACAGTGGGAATGGTACAAAAGGTCCAATGCAGATGCTCCAGAAGAAAAAGAAATAATTTAACTTTCATATACTACCTTTGGCAAGCTTAAGACAGCAAGTGTGAAAGAACATCCTAATAGACACAACCTTAGAACAGGTGCTTCCTTTTTCAGAAATAATAATTAGTACAATCTGGGTGCGTCTACAGATTCATTAATGCACTGTAATTGCAATCTCCAAGGAACTCCAAGAAAGTCTAAGTTAACTACCAGGTTCCCCAACAGAGAAGATGTGGGGATGGCAATAAAAGGTTCAACTGCACTAGCAGCAAATGAAATAATTTTGTTTTCATATAAATATATATTACCTTTGACAAACTTAAGACAGAAAGTGTGCAAGGATATTCAAACAGATTCAACCTACGATTGGGTGCTGCTTTCTTCAGAAAGAATAATTCATACAAATCTAAGTGCTATAAAGAACAACATGCCAAAATCTTTTGAACAGCTCAAGAGCCACGTTAAGATCCTATCAAGTAATCTTTAACTGGACAGTCTCTTCTGCAAGGAGAACAACACTGCAAGACAGAGAAAAAAAGCAGCTGTCCAGCACTAACACAAACTGCCTTGCTGACTAGAGAAAGCTACAGACAAAATTAACAGAGAAAAACACCAGAAGGGAGCTGAAAGGGATGACAGGTTTTTGCCTTCATTAAAATTCATCAATCTCTAATTGTTTAAAACCAGAGGCTGGAAAAACTTGGGAGCACATGTTCACACCAGAGCAGAGACACGAGAAGGACATGATCAACGTTTACTCACACTTCATGCGGAAAATACTTCTTATAGGCCCGAAAGGATGCCAGTGACACCGCACCGATGAGAGTTCCTTGAAGAAAAACAAGACACAGTCTGATGTCAAGGGTCTAACTTACAGGCCAGACCATTCCCAGACTGCATCGTTTGGGAAGGGCCTTTGAGACTTTCCTGAAAAGGCCTGTAGGCATTTAATCACAGACTTGTACAGCTCTAACTCGCAACTGAATGATTTCTAAAACCTGCTTTAAACAAAACTTCCTTTATTGCTCCACAATACTCAAATCATCCACCCTGTGGTCTGAGAAAGTTAGAGAAACTGAGGTGGGAAGAAATGGAAGTCCACGAGTGATCTTTTATTTCAGAACCCCAAAATACGAAGAAGTGGAAACTCATTGGGAAAAAGGGAAAAATATAAGAATCAACCATATTCGAAGATGGGAAAGGCATCTTCACTGACAAGGTATCGTGGTTGTTGCACAGTTCTCATTCCACAAGAACACAACTTCCATCTCTTGACAAAAAGTAATGCATAATTCTCATTCTTTGTAGAACTCAGCACAATACTGTGGAAAAGTGAAAAACTGCCTTATGGTTTAAGCTTCTTTCACCTCTTTATTCCCCTTCTTTCCCCTGCAAAACGCAGACACCATATTGACACTGACACACTGCTAAGCACAGCTAACCAGTTCTATTTTCTTTTTCAGGAATATACACACACTTTGCAGAGCGCACAGGTATTTCAAAGGCAAAATTCCTACGTCACTCTTACAGGCATGCAAGATTAAGCAAAAAACAAACTATGATCCTGCATAAACAGATAAGAAATAAAACAAGCTTCACTGCATCTCCTGTACAGTTAAAAAAAATACTCACCACTAATGATGATGATGGCAAATACATCTACAAAAAAAATGAAGTGAGTTAATTATCATAAAAACTGCAGGCATACCAATTAATTACAGGGAATATCGATTTATCTTGACTTCATTAACTTATAAATGCTTCTTATGGATTTAAGTTAAGTGTCTTTTAAGACACACGAAACGCCTTCACATACTTGTGTCTTGTAGCGAGCCCATTTCCACATGGCTTTTATGGTAACAAAGGAATCAGTAAGCTTAAATTACTTCTTTCTTTCTAGAAATATTGCAAAAGCTGTCTTTCAGATCTCAAAATGCCTTGCGCAACTTGCATGGATGACTTCTCAAAACCAGGAATACGTCTTCCTCCCGCCCTCACCCAAGGGAAAAGCTGACCCGCAGATAGTATTACAATACCACGCAAAGGGAGTCATTTGCAATTTTCTGTGTGTTGACAATTGCTTGTTTTTACTTACTTAACCGACAAGATGGAATTCCAGGCTCCCATTGATTTCCACCGATATACTGAATCCTAGGTTCCCCATACATTGTGAAGCCCGGATAACACTGAATTGTAACGTTATCTCCAATAAGGTAAGGTGGTTTTGGCCCAGCGATTATTCTTCCATTAGGAATGTACAGTTCTGTCTGATTATCTGGAGTAGGTAAAGGTTCAGTAACTGAGGTTGTGGTCAACGGAGTGGTGGTTAAGGGAGTCGTGGTCAACGGAGTGGTGGTCAACGGAGTCGTGGTCAACGGAGTGGTGGTCAACGGAGTGGTGGTCAATGGAGTGGTGGTCAACGGAGTGGTGGTCAATGGAGTGGTGGTCAACGGAGTCGTGGTTGGCGGAGCCGGGGTTGTAACTGAAAAAAGAAAAAGCCAAACAAAAAATTACTTTTTGTCTAAAACACGAGTAACATGAAACTGGCCAATCTTACCTGAATTTATAGTCTCACAAGCTTGTATGAAACAACCCCACCTCACTTGACCCCATTTGTCTTCCTGCCTGGAGCAGGGGGGCTGGGCCGATGATCTCCAAGGTCCCTTCCAGCCCCTAACGTCTATGAATCCCAGAAAACAACAACTTTGCATGCCATGAGCATGTCTCTGTGCCAACATCTTCAAAGGAGATATCTGGAGGTCCACACACCCCTTCACCAAGTGTTACAGCATCACAGAAGTATCCAGGACTCACTCGGCACTTGATCAAGTGCTCCTACAATCTCTGTCCACCTATGACCCTGAACTTGGCAGGCAGATGATCAAGGCATCACTTTGCAGCTACCCCCGGCTGAAACACACACACAGACTGAGAAGTTACCTCTACCATTTCAGATGTCTTGTCCTTATACAGACTCCCCAGTATGCTGTTCCCACCCTGCTTCATGCAGTAGGGTAATAACATGGCAAGAAGCCTCCAGGCTCAAGTGCCTAAGGCACATCCACCCTAGGAATGCGAGTAAAGGTAAATGGAGTTGAAAGAATTCCCGTTACTGGTGAACAAATACATGCCACCTACAGGGGAGCTGCTCTAAGCCTTTTGGATGGACTGGGACTGAAATTTAAAGAATGAAGACAACTCACTTCTTTCCTGGACACCCAGAAGCAGCAAAACCACAGCTACGAGCTACTTTGCAGAGGCAGGAGCACCCACTGCATCTGAGCTTCATCCCATCACCCATGCCAAAGCTCAAACAGCTGTAACCTGCAGAGCAGATCCATGCTGCTCAGGAGTGTTTTTGGAGAGGTGATAGGACACTGAATCATGCCCACTACTAATGGAAACAGCCAAGGACTTGCAGAAAAAAAAGAAAAATTAACGCTACTGATCGATGCTGGAAAAACACAGATGTGGACCCAATTCTCTAAGACCCACCTTTTGACCAGGGAGACCCCTCCAACAATAACCTGATCTCCAGCTTCACATTAATCAGTCAGCAGAGAAAGTAGCACCCAGGAAGCTCCTTGCCACCATGCACATTGCTGGCTGGAGCTGCGCACTGCCACGTGGCAGTGCCCGTTCAGGCCACGGACCTCCCAAGCGCTTGCTGCCACCATCCACAGTGGCTGTACACCGTAGGCGTGGGTCTGCGGGGGGGGGCGCACACCCTTCCACGCGCACGCTATCTACCCAAGGTGTGCGCTCCCACTAACCCCCTGGGTGCAGGCTCCATGCTGCTGCCAGCTGCAGCCCCACGCTCCCCCCACTCCCCTGCCAGGTGCCCAGACTGAGTGGGATGCCCAGGAAACTGAGGAGGTACCCCGACTGCTGCAGCAATGGCAGCAGCAGCAGCCCAGCCCAGCAGCTGTGTTCTGCCCGGGTCGGGCCCTTCCGTCCACAAGGGTGGGAGTGAGACGTGCGGGCTACGCAGAGTACAATTAGTTGGTGGGTGCCTGTGGTCCGGATTTTGCCCGCCCCTGTTCTAATGGCACGCCGGGTGCAGGCGGAAGTGCACCTCAGAAGGGTATCTGCAAAGCGTTCTGGCGTACCGCGTTACTCCGGACCAAACAGAAGTTGGCTCCAGGGGAAGAGGAGAATCCAGCTAGGCTGGGAGTCTGCAGCCGGGTTCCCATAGCAAGAGCCAGGCTCCCTGCCACGCTGGCTGTTTTCAGAATAGGATGGGAGAAGGGCAGCACAGGGAGCTCATTCTTGGGACTCCCCAGCTGGTGCTGAAGGGTGGGGTGGGCGAATTGGAGCTCCCCTACCTTGGAGCTGCAGGTAGCTCATCTGGGGGAGTTCCTCGCTGCTATGCGCGCTCCCAGGGGGCACAGAGGGACCCGTGCCCCACAGAACTGTACCCAGGGCAGGTGCAGGCTCGAGCTCCCATCCCGCTTCCCTCTCACAAGCCGAGGACAGCACAGGGATTCCTCGCCCCCAGCGCGCAGGGCTGTTCCCGGCGTGAGGCTCTGCCTGTCTCACAGTTCACCAGCCGCGCCTGCTAGGCACCACGTACCTTAGCTACGTACCCGTCTTCAGCGCACGCACGGCTTAAAAAAAAACCCACGTAAGCTCATTAAAAATTAAAAAAAAAAAAAGATCAGACAAGAAATGAAGTGGCGGCTCCAACTTACTCAAGTCGCAGGTGGGTATTGTCGACCACTTGTCGTGTTCATCGCAGATGAGAACATAAGGCCCGTTCAGCCGGTACCCCTCGTCGCACGTAGCGTAGTACTTGCTGTAGTGACCGCTGGCGCGTGTTGCTTTCCCGTTTTTAATGACGATGCGCGGACACGCGGACACTGGAAGAAAAGGGATCAAAGAGAAAGCTCTGACAGAGTTGTGGAAAGCTCCCCTGGAGCCGCAGGGAACGGGGTTTTCTCCCCCCACCCCGTGATCAACGAGACACATGTAAAATGCACTCCTCCTCCAACGTATTCGCAAGGGCTCCGACTAGCATTGCTCGGGCGCGGCCAAGGAGTCTGTACGAAACGCGTTACGGCGGAGACCAACACGGGGGCGGGGCCGGAAGGGCCGAGACCCATGAGGGGCCGCACTCACCCAGCGGCGGCAGCAGCAGGGCGGGCAGCAGCGCGGCGAG